CCCCAAAACCCCAAAACCCCAAAACCCCAAAACCCCATCTCAATTTGCGGAGATTGGAGATATCAACGAATTAGTTCAGAACAACATGGAGAAAAGCCATCCGATTTGTGTAGCCTACTTTTTCAGGCCAATTACTAGTCGCTTCTTTCGACTCTTGTTAGAAATATTTGCAGGCATAGATACCATATTTACATTACAGTCTGATATTGATCTGGAAATCGGGGAACCCTCATCTTTTGAGGGATCGTAAGGTTCAAATCTCGGAGTCCTAAGAGCACTTCTGTTCAAACTATTTGCTCTCTTGGTAAGGCTAAAAGATAATGAGCATTGTAATCATAGAAATTGTAGTGTCTACATCTCAGAAATTCAGGTTAAAAATTTGTGATTCTTATCAAAAATTGTCTGCTTAACAGTTTATGCCTTTTCACAAAAGTGTTGATATCTAGTAATTTGCTTACTTTTTGGATTTTATCAGTTTCATCTTTTTACCTATAAAATAATTAGACACGCTTTTGAAGAATATGGAATGGAAAACTCACCCGTTGGGGTTACTAGCTTGCCAAAAGTCTCAAATCCATTGAGATAAGTCTTTAGATTAGCTCTTCTCAAGTTTGGAAGAAGTCCTTTCTTTTTATTTCCTCTTTCTAAAACCCCTCTTTGGGTTTTCTGAGGGGAAGACTCAATTTTCTTCCTTTCTCTTCTTAATATAGAGTTGGTATACTTAGTCCTACCAGTCTTTGGATTTAAAGATGAGTCCGAGCTAAGTTTACTTTGTGATTTCTTAGAATCCTTGAGATACCTCAACTTCAGTCGCATTTCAATGACTCCTTGGCCTCTCTGGGCATCTTTGGGGCTCCCCGTGACTTCTTGGAAATCCATTGAAGAGATGTTCATGCTCTGGCCAACTTTGAGGCGAAGGTTCTTAGCCTTCTGTAAGATATCATTCTTGCTTATCTTTGGAAGAGACAAAAAGCTCAATGGTTGGTTGGATTCTCTTCTTGGCTCAATCTTTGTAGATATTTCTAATTTTTCATCATGGCTCCTCTTCTTGTTCTCCTTCGGTTTCTGTATAATATGTTAAAATGAATATTTTAAGATGGATTAGAACAGAAATAATCAGTTTTAGGCAACTAGACTTTAGCATCAAAATCTGCTGTTGATTATAAGCACAGCTGGGTATGGATTCATTATGAGTTTTAGCATGGCATCACTTTGCCAGTTTAGGATTTTTAAGTGAGGTTTCAAAACGGTCAAGAAAATCACGACGAATTATTATTTACAAAAATTCTCCAACTGCTCAAGTGTGTAAAGTAATTATTTTGTAATATTTTTATTAAATACCCGTAATTTTTCTTATTTCATAGAGGCTAGGCTCTATCAAAAGCTTAGAGATAAAGCGGATAGCTAAAGAATATGCAAAGCTGGGTGACCCACAACCTTCTATCTATACATAGGATATCTTCCAACAAGTCTCATGGCTTTTGACCTACCTTTTGTACGAAAGAAGAAGTAATTGTGGTGCTCTGTTCACTTTTCTGAAAAATCCTGTAATAATTCCTTGATTTCTCCCTTCCAGACTTAATGCTATTTGCTGCTGTCTTTTTGTCTTCTGAAGAGCTGCTTTTGAAGAACAAGTCTAAACGGATTATTAGATCTGTAAGACCCAGCCTGGAGAACCCCAGGCTGGGGTTTGCTTCATATATAAGCTTTAAATGCTTTATCTCAGAAGTTATTGCAGAAAGTTGGAAAATTTATATGATAAATGCTGGATTGTTCTTTTAGTCCAATTTCTAATTCCAACCTCCCAAAATACCTCCAATCCATCATACCTCATCTCCTAAACCTAATTTCTCCCAAAATCCAAACACTCACTTTCCACCCTCCAATATCCCTTCTATCCCCTCTAAACCCCCCTCTCCCTCTCAACTCACCTCCTGCCCTGTTCATCTTCTGTATCTTATCCTTAAATTTATCCAAAAACGCTTGATTCACAATTCTCTTACTACTCATCTTTCTTCTTAACTTCTAATAAACCCTAATTTCAATTTATTAATATAACAAAGGGGTTTTGGGGTTTTGGGGTTTTGGGGTTTTGGGGTTTTGGGG